GTAATTTTAAAATTATCTGGGAGAAAACTTTCCCGTTTTTTTCTTTTAATTTTTTTTTTTTTTTTTTGCTCAGCTCTAATTTGTTATTATGGATTGAAAAATTTTATTTTTAATTGAGGAAAGATTGAAGTTTCAATTCAAGTTCTGTTTAAATTTAAGTATAAATTTATGTTTGTTTTAAAGTTACAATGGTTAAAATATACGATTATTATTTTAATTTATTAAAATTAATCCACGAATTAATGAATGATGTGTGGAATTATTTATATATTAATAAATTTATTAAAATTTTATAAATTTTGAGTTTTTTTTTTTTGTTGAAACATCGATAGTTTTGTAAATTTAAATGATTTTATCAAGGTATGGAATTGAATTAGAATGAAATAAGAGGCAAAAGTCAACACCCGAAACAATTTGGCATTAGTTGGAATAGAGCCGATTTCATCGATTAATTTGAATATCAAAGATTAGGTAATTTTTTAGAATTTAATTTGAATATCAAAGATTGGGTAATTTTTTTACAATCTAATTTGAATATCAAAGATTAGGTAATTTTTTTTATAATCTAATTTGAATATTAAAGATTGGATCACTTTTTGTGATCTAATTTGAATATCAACGGTTGGATAATTTTTTATGATTTAATTTGAATATCAAAGACAAAGACTTTTGCGATGTAATTTGAATATCAACGATTGAGTAATTTTTGTATAATTTAATTTGAATAGTGATTTTTTTTCTGATAAATTAATCAGATAATTAAGAAGAAACAAGCTTCCAAATAATGTGGAAAAAAAAAACATGAAGCAAATAATAGGACAGAGAAATGATAAATAAATAATTCTTGAATATTCGTTTTCCACATTACTTACTTTAATAGTTTCAAAGATCAAAAGATTTTAATTAAGTTTTTCAGAAAAATTTAATTAACTTTCTCTTCGGCATATATTTGGCTAACATTTCCTTCCATTCTCTTTTGTTCTTCCCTTTTTTTTCAGTTTTAAACATTTCATTAATTTTATAATTTTTCCGCTTTTTTTTCTTGAAATAATAATTTTATTATGTCGCATTTTTTTTTTTTTTTTTTAAAAATATTGCGATGAAAAAAAAAAATTCTTCTAATTCTTGCTAAAACATTCCTTTTTTTTGAATTATTTTCAAATTTGAAAATTAAAATTTTGACAATTTGAGTTTTTTTTTTTTAAAATTTATTTATTCATTCGTAATAATATTGTTTAAGATTCATTTGTGCAATCTTAAATGAAAATGGATTAATTGAAATTTTAATAATGGACAAAAAAAAGAAGACGGATATTTTCAGAAAACAATTTCAGGAATTATCCAATCATTCCGTCCGGAGCAGACCGCAGGCAACTACGAGGAAAAAAATTACGGAATGGATGATTGTAATGTTTTGTTATATTATATTATTCCCTACATATCTTTCAAATTTGGGTGATTAATTGATGGAAATTGACCATTTAATATTTACGGAAGAATGAATCTTGAAATTAATTGAAATTGAAATTTAATTGAAATTAAAATTTAATCCTAAATATTCACCTAAATTTGTTCACATATCAAATAAGTGCTTTCATTTATTTTACCCTTATTGTTTATTGATAATTTTATTTTTTAAATGAGATACCATCCGAATTTTTTTTTGTTTTAAATTTTAATATGAATTAATCGATTTTGAGAAATGAAATTTTGGATGAGGAAAAAAAAAATGAAAAGGATGATGTTTATTTGAATTGAAACTTTTTTTTGTTATTAATCTGAAACTTTGCTCAAGCTCAATTACCTAATTATTCATGCAATTCAATGATGCATTGCCTCTTCTTCCTTTTACTTTGATTCAAATTTAAGCAAATAATTGAAAATTGAAATTGAAGTATGAAAATTTAATGAAAGAAAAGAGGAAGAAAAAATTTTTTTTAAATTTCAGATGATTTCATTTAAAAAAAAAAAAAAAAATAGCATGAAAAGATTTAATGAATAAAAAGGTAATGTGAGCCTTAAGTATTACTTATGGATAATTTTTTTCCTCTCTTTTTTTTTACTTGCATCAGTTATTTTAATTAATTTTGCGCACAAAATACAATATCATTTTCTCTTTTTTTTTTTTATTTAACCAAACAAACGAAAAAAAAAAAGCTTAACGATCCATTTTATTATTCTTAATGAAATAAAAAATAATGAAAGTTTAACCTTAACATTTAAAAAATTTTAATTTTTATATTAAATTAATTTTTTTTTTGAGATTTATTTCATAAAAAAAATTAAGAAAATTAAAAGAGAATGCTTATCCATAAGTGATATTGTAATGTTCTTTCAAAATGAAGTCTTTCATATGCAAAATATGTCTTTCCCATTTTTATTTTCTATTTGCTTTTTTCCGTTTTTTTTTTTGAAAAGAAGTATAAAACCCGAGTGCTTTCATCCCTAATTTGTGTTACCAATTAATTTAACGGTGATAACGGATAGAGGAATAATATCGGATGTTGACAATTCAATTGACGTTTTATCAAATTTCAAATAGCTTTGGCATTAAAACGAATAAGCTCATTGTTATTGCAAACATAGAAAAATATGGCTTAATTCTTAAAATCAAAATAATTAAAAGCTAATCTCCTATAATTTTAATAATTAAGCCCAATTATTTTAGCAAAAAATATACGAATTAATGAGTTGATAGAAAGTTTCTGAATCCATTTTAATAGATAATAAGATAATACATTGGATTGTTCTAATTCTAAACATGTTTCTGGAATGATGAAATATAATATAATTAGAAATGCATATTTTAGAAATATAATACTTGAAATCACTATTGAAATTAATAAAAAATAAATTGCATCTAAAACCGAGTTTCTAAATCCTGTTTTTTTTTCCGGAATTTTGAAACATTTTTCAACATGAACATGTATGTTGCATGCAAAAAAAAAAAGAAAATGCAATGAGCAATTCGTAATTCAGTGAAGACAATGAGAATCTGAAATCTAAACCTATTATATTAATTAATTTTTTTTCACTAAACTACCGATGGAATAACCAATAATTTTTGAATTTTCAATGAAAATTATAAAATTATTCAAATGCATAATTTAAAAATGTTATTAATAATTTGTAATTATTATTGTTGTTTGTATAATTTTAAATTATAATAAAAAAGCAAGGAAAAAGAAGAGCTATTAAATTTTGCTTATTTAAAGCTCAAAGAAAAAAGGAAAGGACAAAAAATTAAATTAAATGAAATTCTTTTTTGTAGCTAAAAAAAATATTGAAAATATTAAAAACAGAATACAAAGTTTTATTCATCTCACAACAATAATGCAAAATGAAAAATATATTTACAAATTATTTCCAAGCTGTAGCATTTTTTCAAAATCAACGTTATGATGAATAAATATAAAATATTGCAGAATTAGATGAAGAACATAAATTTGTACTAATTAATGAGTTTCATTCTTTAAAAGTAATTTCAAAATAGTGCAATAACTTAGAGACAATAGCCTAATGCATAAACAAAGTTTATCAATTATTTGTATCGAAAATTTTTCCATCGAATAATTTTTTGTTTAAAAATTGACCTAAAAAAAAGATTAAGTGAAATCTGAAAGATCATTGGAATTGATTGCATCAATGGTGGAAGTTGGACTAAATGATTTCAATGATCGAATTGTGTAATTACCACAACCATCCAGGTGTAGAATCGTATCATGGAATTTAGTGAAAGATGGATGATGACCAATTGATATAAAGCCAATATTATTCTGGAAATAAAGCATTAAATATAAATTAATTCAATCACAGCAAATTTTATTTTTTATTTTTGTTTAAAAAGCTTTAAAAAAAATTGAAATATTATCGTAAAATTAGATTTATGTGTTGTTTACACTTAAAAAAAAAGAAATTCTTTTTTTTATGTCTGAGAAAAGCGGAAATGAATATTAATTACATTTGAAGTTCATGTAAAAGGGAGTAAATTAATTTAAATGAATAGATTTCTGTCCCATTCATATGCATAAAGTTAATTAAATGTTACAAACATGATAACTAAATGTACAACCGACTGATTAGGTAATTCTCTGGATAATTAAATAATTAATGTATAACTGATTAATTAGACGATATGTGCATAACTGAATATTTAGATTTTAGACAATGTAAATAGGGCTTTTGTAATCAAATCCTAAAAAGTGATAATCAAATGAACTGTGATACATTTTACTAGAATAAATTTGCATAATGAAAACTTTGATGAATGGCAAAAATCTTATAGTTGGTATTAATCATTAGTTATTAAATCTACTAGTTATTATTATTATCGTCAATTGTTTCCTTATCAATATTACTACTATTAAAATTGTTAAAAATTAGTAGCAATTATTAAGTTTTTCATTTTTGGATTTTTCACACATTACTTATTATTAATCAAGTCATGATTTGGCAGTTATTATTATTATTATTATTATTATTATTATTATTATTATTATTATTATTATTATTATTATTATTGTTATTATTATCATTATTATTATTATTATTATTATTACCATTATTAATTGTTGTTAGTAAAAATACTCATTATAACAACTAGTTATTGAAATTACTTATTAAAGCGTTTGTTAAATTTTCATCTCAAGATTATATCAAAGATTTGAAAAGTTAAAAAAATGATACCGAAATAAGAAGTTGATAGATGTGTTCTTCGATCTCTAAGTCGATAGAACTGCTTGATTCATCTAAGATCACAAATTGTGGTTGTTGATACAACACTCGGGCAAATGCAAGTCGTTGTTGTTCACTTCGTGTTAATGTATCTTGCCTAAAGGACATATTTGAAACTTTAACAAAATCAAAAAAGTTTTAATTAATGTAAATAATTCAAAGTTTGCAAGAACCAAATATAGTAATATCGAAAAGGCACATTTGAAATTTGATAGATTTTAATCGAACTTCAAAATTCAAATAAATGCAAATAATTAGAAGTTCACAAGGAATAAATAAATAATATAATAACCATTCAAATTCAACCGGATTAAAAAGACCTTCACAACGTTCAATTAACCAATCAAGTTTTAATTCCTTCAAAATGATCGTAATTGAAGCATAATCTGAATAAATATAGCATTAATAACCTTTTTCAAGTAGAAATGAAATTATTAGAACTAGATTTAAATTGAATAAAATTAATTTTTAAATTCCAAAAAATCTTGTGTTACTAAAAGATGCATCCTACGAATTTCAAATATTAGCACTAATTAAGTACAAATTATCTATTCATTCGAAATATGACTATTATTCCAAATTTTTTTTTTTTAAAAAAGAAAACAGATATGATTGTTGCATTGATAATACATTCTGATAATTACCATTATCAATCTTTTTAAGACTCTCTGAAATGCCTGTTGCCGGAAAGCTAATTTGCTGAAATAAACTTAAATGACCACAAGGAAAATAAGGTGTATGTGATAGGCGCAAAATTTGTCCACGTTTTATTCCAAATCTAATATATCCTATAAATAAATAAATAAATTTTGATATACAATATTCGAGATTGCCTTTAAATATTTATTCAAGAAATACATTCCAAAACATATATGATCAAATAGAAATTTCACAGAATTGAACCTATTAAAATAATCTTTTAAAATAATTTGATTTAATACATTAAATTCAACCACTTTAATTATTTTTTTCATGGTAATCTTTCTTCTAAATTTAAAAAATTACAAATTATGATTAAGACTTAAAATTAATCTAGAAAATTTACTAATATTCATAAATAGTACCAGTTTCATATTGCCATAATTGTGATAATACTCGTATGAGTGAAGTTTTTCCACTTCCACTAGCACCTATTATCCAAATTCTTGCATCTCTATTAATTGTAAACGAAAAATCTATAAAAATGATAAAAATTTTAATTAGTAGTTCATAATGAAGCAACACTTGATAACATTTTAAGATATTAAAAGGAATTTTCAGAATAATTGAAGACTTTTTTGCCTAAAAATACTTCAAATTTTGAGGAAAAAAAACTCAAAAAAGTTTAAATTAGGATGATAAGCAAAAAATAAATCTAATCACTAAATGCAACATATGTTATGGTGACAATTAAAATGACCATATGATCGATGATTGACAATGCATAAATTTACGAAAAGAAAAGAAAAAAAAGACTTTATATTGTGGATATTACTACAATCATTATCATGAATTGATGTGAAAAAATAAATGATGAAAATATTTCTAATTATGAATACCATTAAGTAACTTTTGAGTGGGATAATGATTTGGTAATGAATAGCTAATATTATGGATATCATATATCATACACTGATTAGTATCAGCTTTTGTAAATACTGAATCAGCTATAAAATCATCGTATCCTGAAATAACACTGTTTCTTAATTGGAATTGGAGTTAAAAAGAAAAGTGAATTAAAGAAATAGTGAATTAATTGTAATTAAAATTAAAAACCAAAGAAAAAGTGAATTAAAGAAATACTGAATTAATGAGAAATAGTGAATTAATTGTAATTAAAATAAAAAATAAAGAAAAAGTAGATTAAAGGAATAAGAAATATTTTCAGTAAATGTTTCGTCTATTTATAGCATACATATGTATACCGCAAAATCAATTATTCCAATATGAAAGTTTGATATTAAAGAACGATAATATTAATTAATTATTGATTGGAAATTTTCACGGATAAAAGAAGTAAGACTATATATCATAGAAAATATAATGTGACAACCGGATATGCTTGATTAATTTTATTCAAAAGCAAAAAACATTTGGAAAAGTATTAGCTTATATTTATTTCGAATTGCTCTGATTATTTGATCGATAAATTTGAAAATTTCCGTTTTTTTAAAATTAATTTTGATTCAATTAATGGAATAATTAAATATTTGAAATACTTCCGAAACAACAGCTGGAGCAAATGTCTTTATCAATTCCAAATTTTCACTTTTGATTAATAAAATTTAAAATGAATAATTAGGAATTTTGCATTTACCAATTTTATTATTGTCCATATGTTTGCATATACGAATCAATTCTGCTACACTGAAAATAAAAAAAAAAAGAGAAATCCATTTTTTTTTTTTAATAAAATATAATAATTTTTAATACAATAATTTTTTTTAATATTTATTAGTAATAACAGTGCAAATGCGAGAAAATTTGGTGGAAAAAAATCAATCAATAATTCAATTTCTAATAAGATTATGCAATTTAAAAACTTGTTATAAAAATTTTGCATTCACAAATTTTTTTTTTTTGCATTTTTTAATCATTAATTAATTAAATTATTGCAATGCAACATAATTTATTCTTAATTTTTAGCGGAAAAAAAAGATTGTTAGATGGCTATTTTTTTTTCTTTTCTTTAAAACAAAAAAAAAAATTGTAAATAGGCCATCTGAAAGAACTGCTATTAAAAGTAACTTTGAATTCATCGTAATACATTTTTAATTTTATGGTATGTAGTAAAATTAAATTGATCACATATTACTGAAGTATTCCTTAGATTTCTGAAATGTGACATAACAATGGTCAGTGGTCAACAATGGTTAAATAACCTACCGTTGCAATATACCAGCCATTTCACCGGTACTAAGTGCTACATCTGTTATTCTTGTGAAGCTATTGATTAGATACATATATATGAATGCATTCTAAAAATTTATTTTACATTTTATAAACTTTTCCATTTGCTTCAACATATTGAATTTAGCAATATTTTCAACAGAAAAAAAAAAACATCCGAAGCTATTGTTTGTTGGTTTCTATGATTTCCAAATTTAAGAGTAAAATATTTGGTAAATTAATTATTATTAATGATTATAATAATAATAATATTACAATATTAGCAAATAACAGGAATAACAGTAATAAATAAGTGCGGTGATAATAATTAACAATGATTAATAAAAAGAAAATTAAAGCATTCGGTGAACTAATTATTATTGTCATTATCATCATTATCAACAATACATTAATAATAATAACAATAATGAAATTAATAATAATAACAATAATAATAATAGTAATGACAATAGTAGAATGATATCCAATCCTTATATCAAAATAAAAACAAAATTTGAAGAAAATGAAAAAAAAAAATAAAGAATTCGTAAACTAACATTACTTATAATCCTACCCAAATCTTGCACTGGTAAATCATCGTATAGCCCAGTAATTAATATTGGAATAAATTGTATTGCATAACTTAAAATTCCACCGTAATGATCAAAGAGTTGTTGCCAAACTGATAATGAAAAGGTTTCATTTGTATATAAAAATTTAATGCAATAAAATATGAAATGGAGAATTTCTTATGCTAAATAGATTTTAAAATTTGATCGAATGACGAAATATTCAATTCTTCTTAGAAATTGAATAGGTAGCAAAAAAAAGAAGGAAGGATGAGTGATAAGAAAATTTAGAGTGAACTTCAAATATCATGAGTATTATTAGTACTATCATCATTATTGTGATAGCCTATACAAACATCTAAATAATGTTTTAAGCAAGAAATAATTAATTATTCGTATTGCCATATTAAGTTTATAATTAAAAACTTGAATTTCTCAGAGAAGAAAGATAGAGAATCAAGGGCAGGTTTTATTTTGGATTATAAATGAATCTCATGTAATTCTAAAATTTTCACTTCAATCACAAACATATTCACAAATAAACACTTCTTCATTCACATTCGCAAATAACAATCTGGTTATTAACAGATTACAAAAATTTAATTTATATTAATTATTCAATAAGCTTACATAAATTTGGTAATTTCCAGCACATGAATTTAAATTGTCGCCACCATAATAACATAAATATCCGATTGCATTCGTATTGCTCGAATGGTTCTGCTTCATAAAATGCAATTGATTCGGCATTATTCCGTATTGAAATATGTTTATACCGGAAATTGATAAAATTATTACATATCGAGAGTTAATTGGGACAATTTTGATTTCCCTTCTTCTGATGAGAAGATTTAATAATGCAAACAATCCGGTTGAAATTTTTAGTAAACATTTATTTAGTTATGAAACATTATCGCTCATTTCCAATTAATCGAATTTCAATTTTAAAGGCAAAACGACAAATGGTAGCATGTTCAACAATTACAGAGCAAGTTTTTCTTTTCCTTTTATCAATAATCAAATTTACTTTGTTATTTAATTTTTAAATGAATAAAAATTTTAACTAAACAGTAATTGGTCTGTTATTTGGAAAATCCAATAACTATTTAAATTTGATTTTAATTGTATAAACGAATAGAAGCTTATTTAACCATATAGCTTGAATTTATTTTAGTAACTATCTAATTATCAAATACATTAGAAAAATTATAGTCAAACATTGAAATTTTTTTGGATTTTTTTGAAAAATTCAATTTAATATATTTTAAAAAGAATTTCCAACATATTTCGAAAAAAAAATCAATTTCATCAATTGCAGTTATAAGAGAGATGGTAATAATTATCATTATCAATTTATTGGAATAAAGAAAGAGAAGAAAAATCTAGAAAACATAAAGTCCTGTTACCTAAAGTCACCTTCGGTTTTTTGTACTCGAGCATTCCATTTGACCATCGGTGACATAAGGAATTTGTTGACAATAACGCCAACGACGAAATAACCATAGATAATGCCAATACCCAAACCGCCAGTACTAAATAAAACAGAAAACAAAAATTTAATTTAATTACGATTTAGAAAATGTCAACTTACATTTATCCAATTCTATGAACATTTTATAACTAGGAACTACAGGAATTTAAAACAAAAAAAAAGATCTTTCTCAATATTATATGAATTATTTTGTTGTTAAATATATTTCAAAAAATATTTAAAAACATGAAAATTTACAATAAACTACAATAAATTAAAACATCAAATAATATTATTTCCATATATATCTATGAAATATTATTAGTAAAATTATTAAAATTTAAATGTTTGATAAATTTAAAATTGCAAATAACAATATATCTCTTACGTGATATATGTTTTATAGGTATAAAAAGCAATAACAAATGGCCCAATTAGTATAGAAGGCATTATATTAATTGCTAATTGATTACACATTCTTTCAGTATCTTGTGTGATACGTTGATCACTACAAAAAAATTTTTAAAATTATTTTACTCTTGTTTTTTTTTAACTTCTGATACATATTAATAATTGAATAAATTATTAAAAAAGAAAGCACAAAATTTGAATAAAATTTTGAAAGAATTAAAATTATGCATCAAAAAATTGAAAAAAGCATTCAAAATTAGATAAAATTAAAAGAGTAATTGATATATTATTACTCATCTGTTAATAATTAATTAATTTCACTCCTCATTATTATCATATCATTAATTTATGTTAAGTAATTGTGATTGAAAAAGAACAAAGAATTGGAAAGTATTTTAATAGTGGAGAAAAAAAAAGTGATGTCTATTAGTGAGTAAATCAAAAATTAACAAAAAGAAAGGAATTATACGAAAAATTATATTAACCGATAATTTAAAAATTTCAATGTTAAAAATTAATTTACGGATTATCGATTCCATAATCATCAATATTATTGATTTTATAGTATGTATGATTATTAAAATAGAATTGTTGAAGTTTGATTACCGCATTCTTACGCCAACTTAAATAAAGTTGCCATGATGTGAACGATTTCAATGCTATTAACTGAAAAATAGAAAAAAATGAAATAAAAAAAAAGAGAAAAAAAAAACTCCATATATGATAACATTTATTTTGAATTATGCAAAATGAAATTATCATATTATTTGTTTTTGGGTAAGCCTGAAATTAAATTTTATAGTCTAAACAAAAAAAAAGTGTTAAAATAATCGTATCAGTTTACAGAACTACTGGAAAAAGAATGAAGTATTTGTATTTGTAGTAAATCATTCCTATAAAAATTATCGTTATTAATTCAGAACTGGGTCAACTAGGCTTCTTAGAAAATATCAAAAATTTGAAATATTCAACAAATTATTGATCTGAAGGTGTTAAATTTATAAACTAAAAGAATAATAACAATTTGGATATATTAGAAAGTAATACATTTAATTTAAAATAAAATGAAAAATGATTTGGAAAATTGAATTTCACATGTTTAACAACAAAATGTTTAAATTTTTTGGGAAAAAACAAACGAAATCTATCAAAATTAACTTTAAATTTTTAAAAAAACAAAAGGAAAATATTGTTTTAATAATTATTTTACCACACATTTGCCAATATATGCAATTGAGCCAATGATAAAAATATGCCAGAATTCCGATTTACTTTTATCTACTAATGCCTGATATATTCGACCTGGTACCATACCCATCAAAAACGTTAATACTTCACCTGTAATCATTAGCCTATAATCACCAATCATTTCAACATACCTTTTTACTTAACTTTGCTAAATAATTCTTTGACAAATCACTAATGCTTATATAAATCACTGTGAAGCCATTATAAGAAATATGTTAATTACTTTTTTTCTCACCAAATTATATTGTAATTATCTATCTATTTTTAAATTTCAAATTTAATTATATTTTTAAAAGTAACTTACTAGCAATAGCAAAAAGAAGTGTAGCAAACATAAAGAGTACAGCCCATTCGATACGTGGAAAAAGAATTGTTGTAACATTTGCAAGACAACGGAAAAAATAATAATCAAAATGGAAATCCTTCTCATCACGTCGATGTTTTCCCATTTCTCATAACAAAATTGATTAATTTATGCAAATTTTTAATAAATTCTATTCCAAATAGTTTCACGTGATTTCACGTCATGAAAGTTCAAAAAACTGCATTTTTCGAAATTTAGTAACAAATACAAAATTTTAATAATTTCAAATTTCTTACAATTTTCAGAACTTATATTCTTTTTTTCTTTTTTAAATAACACTTTCTTTTTTTCAAGTAACTTCTTTGAAAAAGTATTGGTAGCAACAAATTAAGCAATGGCAATTAATAATTTCAATAAATGTAATGCATTTAATTATAAATGGATATTTATTTTTGAAGAATAAATAAAATTCTAAAAAAAATTTCCAAAAATTTTAAAAAATTATCACAAATTCAGCAGATCGATATATACATGTATAAACATTTGTTGCAGATATGCTTTTGCGTAAATAGCCTATTTATGAATTTTAGGTTCTTTGAATTTTCAATTTTGTATTTCAACATCCATTCGCCAAATCGATATCTCAGGTTTAATAAGCTCAAATTGAGGCCAAATAATTACAAATCAGGTTCAAAAGTCAATTATTGCGATTATAATAATTTGCTGGAGGTAACACTAAAAGTTACATACGGAAGTATGAAATTCATTCTTACCCGTCGGATTAAAATTAATTTTTTAAAAAAAAGTAAGGAGAGCAATTTATTTGCAATCCAAAGAATTTAATATTGTCAATTTGAATTGTAAACATGAAGAAATAATAGTAAAATAAGTAAAAAGTCTTAGGTAAAAGTAACTGACTATAAAAAATTGCATAGCAAAAGAATGAAGCTTGATACAAATTGAAATCATTATTTATTGCAATATTATACCAAATTAATTAAGGAATTAATGAAAAATTAAATGATATTTGATTAAATTGAGAAATGATTGAAAAATAAAAAAAATTGATAGATTCAGTAATGTGACAAATTTCTCAAATACTGATCTTCTTTGCACGGAAATGGATTTATCGTAGTCTCATTAAATATGAAATAGTTTTGATGGAAATATTCCCAATATGACGGCGTCACAAAGGTGTCATACCTTGAGAAATGATCAAAAGAATGTGTATATATGTGTGTGTGTGTGTGTGCGTGTGAGAGAGAGAGAGAGAGAGAAGGATGGAAATATTAAGAGAGGTATTTTGGTAGATAAAATTTATGAACTAAATGATGTGAAATGAAGTGTAAAAGATGTAAGTAACAATTAACAATGGCATTATTCGTTATTATTTCAGTGGAAAAAATGGAGAAAAAAGAGGGAGAAGAAAAGAAAAGGTAGGGAAAGAAAAAAAAAATCATTTCCTAAATTCATATTATATATCACTTAATTCTTACTATTATACATGAAATACAGTTCTGTTGCATTTTCTTTTATTTTAAAATTTTAGTTTACTGCCGAAAAAATTCACTAAAATCATTTCATTATTATTCCATTTCCATTTACTAATGTAAAATTTTATTATTAGTAAGTTAACCTTTTTCAATTTGCTATTTTTAATATAATTAATTTAATTTAATAATAAATATGAATTCATAGCGAGTATAATTTTTAATGTTAACATACATTCAAATATAATTTACTGAGACATTTATCAAAAAAAAAAGAAATAATTGGTGGACGAAAAGAATGCACAATTTTTGTCATTTTGTTTTTTTTCTTTTTTTTTTGTTAATTTAAAACAATCATTGATAGATTTAATTTTTTTAATGAATAACACTTTTCCAAATTTTTGTAAATTCAAAAAGTTCATTGATAATTTTAATATTTCTAATAAATAATGCTTTTCCATAGTTCCTATATTATATATGAATATGCGTAATTTTCTGTTAACTAATGGAAAATATCGTACATAAGTTTTATTCAATTTTTTTTTTCTGCTTTTATTCTGAAAAAAAATATCATTGCTATTTTTAAAAAGATAATTTGCCAAAGAAAAGGAGGAAAAATTGAAACTAAATGTTTACTGAATTAAATACTTTAACTGAATCAAATCTAAAAATGTCTAAAATTGCAAAAAAATTTGGGTAAAACACAATTCTATCGATTTATATCGATAATTTGGAATTTGAAAATTGATAATTTCAATTTTCCAAATTGCTCCTTGAAAAAGTATCGCACTACACTGTGATATGTGATAACATTTATATGATGCTTAATTGATAAGCTAAAAGAAAAAAATTCAAGCAATAAATTTGCAACTTCTTTTGCAATAGAAATTGGAAGAAAATATGATCAGCGAAAATGATTGGACAAGAGAAAATATTAGGAAACTCGAAAAAATACCTATGGAAAAATCCAGAAAATATCTCTGGAAAATTCCGAAGAATAACTATTATGGAAAATTCCAGAAAATAACTCTCATAGAAAATTTCAGAAAATGTTTGCGGAAAATTTCAAAGGATATCTATACAGAGGATTCCAGAAAACATTTCCTGCAGAAAATTCCAGAAAATAGCTATGGGAAATTTCAAAAAATATCTATGGGAAATTCCCGAAAATAATTATGGGAAATTTCAGAAAATACCTACAATTGTGGAAAATTCCAGAAAATCATCTGTAGAAGGTTCCAGAAAATATCCGTGGAAAATTTCAGAAAAAAACTGTAAAAAACGCTGGAAGGAATTTGATGGAAATTTCTGGAAAATTAAAAAATAATTATATTTTCATTTCGGTGCGAAAAACATTAAATTCCTTTTACACCAAATTTAAAATGCGTAAAGATGTTTTTAATTAGCACTTTCCTCTCTTTGTAAGGAAAAAAGAAACGAAACAAATACTTTTATTAATTAATAATTCCTAATTTAAAAGTATAGAAAAGTTAAAATTTGAAATCAAAATTATACATTTTGAAAATTAAACAAAAAAAATGTTCCCATTTTAGAAGAAAAAGAAGTTAGGAAAATTTAAGAAAGGAATAAAATAAAATTTAATAAATGCATAAAAGTGCTATAGTGTAAAATTATAAAAATTTTTTTCGATATAAATTCATTCCACAAACTAAAACAATTCATTTAAACGGAAAACCGGAATGATGTATGGTTATGAACGGATGATGAGATACGGAAAGATTGCCTGTTATCAAAATTTTAAAAATCCAATCAAAAATTTGACATGTTCAATATCACATTTTCATTTCAATAAATTCAACATGAAGAAATTTCATCAGGTGAAACAATAGATTTTATTAATTTCAAATTTTTAAATTGTCTTTACATTTTCTTGTCAGTAATTATTTTTGATGATTTGAGAAATGATATTAGATAGTGTGGAAAAATGAAATGATAGTAATAATGCAAATGATTTGATGATAGTAATAGTATTCACAAAAATAATTCACTCTTTGTGTCTCTTCCATTTAATTATTTTCTCAAATAGATTACATTTTTTGATGATATCAATTAATTTTTATCTTCTCGCTATCCATAAATTCAAATTAAAAGTTTTTTTTTCTTTTCTTTTAAATAAAGAAATATTTGATGTAAAATTGTTAAGCGAAAAAAAATTATGAATTATTTGAACATGTTAGGTATAATTACTCTAATGATAATTAATTATGAAATTGTATTTTTTCATTTAACAAATAAACAAATCAAATATAATTTTACAAGAAAATATTTCCATTTAACAAATTCATTTAATATTTCTAGTAACAAATACATATGTTAATAGTAACATTTAAAATTTGATCATTTAATTGTAATACTTGCTTATTTGATATAGCAAATGCTTGAAATACATTAACAATAAGAATTACCAATTAAAATTAATCGAATTAATTAATACGAATTATCGATCGAAAAATTAGGTTAAAAATTAGCAAATGAATAAATTAAATACAAATTTTACAAGAAAACATTGCCATGTAACAACAATATGTCACATCCAATTAATATTACCACACTTAGGTGACAATATTCCTTACTTTGTCTTAATTGTTGCATAATAAACCATTTAAGCTATTTTGAAGTATTCCTAGTACTTTAATATTAATAATTCTTTCAATATTTTTACATTATGCAAAATCTTTCCGCAATACTTTTTTTTTTTT